GGCCAGCCTGGGCTACCAAGTGAGCTCCAGGAAAGGCGCAAAGCTACACAGAGAAACCCTGTCTCGAAAAAAAAAAAAAAAAAAAAAAAAAAAAAACTGAAAAACTATAATCAAGTGGATCTGAACTGAAAATAGCTGTGCCTGTTCTTGCAGAATAGTTCTTAATATTTTGGAGACAATTGTGAATAATCACAACCAAAGGAAGAAGATGTGAGGTTACATCTAGAATGTTCTAGTAGGATGATGACAAGAATATGGCTGAACTTCCCACAATTCACTAGTCTTGTGTCTTAAAACTAGTCTTATGAGCCAAAAGTCAAAGGTTTCAGTTTTGCAAAATAAAGTGCTCTAATCACACATAGTACTACTTTTTTTCTTCCACTAAGTATGAGGAGTATTACTAACAAAAGCCCTAGAAGTTTGTTCTTGAACATGGCCTCACATACATCCTAAGAAGATTGTACTATAATATTTGGGTTGTTCCACAATGCCCTTACCTGCATTTATATGTTATGTTTAACCTAAAGATTTAGAGTAGTAAGCAATTCATCTAAATTCAAAATCCTTGTAGCATTTAGATTTACTCAAACTATTTGAAATCTTTACAGATGATTGTGCTTTGCCAGTGTCTACAATATTCACAACTTAAAATAATTCTGAATATTTGAGACCATAACATAAAAACAATGCTGTAGATTAATGAAAAATTGAGAATAATGCACTTTAGGTAAAAATTAGCAGTTGATATTGACTGCAGTATACTTGTTTGGTCATATTAATCACTTTATTGTGAATTGTAAGAAAATTTTTGGCATACCTTCCACAATGTTAGATAACTTTATGTAAATGGTAAAATGCTGAGAGATTTCATATTGATTCCCTTTATATTTTCTCAAAATTTATGCAGTCTTTTAAAATGAATTTAAAATGTTTCATTGTTTACTGTATATAATATGTAGAAAATTTACACTTTTTTTGAAAGTTGCTTCTGAAGCAACATTTCAGGATATTATTTTATAGCAGATTTGATTATTTGAGGCTTTTTCTTGCCTCCTCCCATTTGTGGGTACCTATGGAAAAGACCATTTGTATTTTTTACAAGGGGTAATCCTACTAGACAACAGTTCTTTTCATTAAAACAATCTGAAAGTATGACAAAAAGTGAAAAAATAGAGATAACAAATTTGGGACATGAAGATTATGATTAAAGCAATTCGACCAAAAGAGTAAAAAGTATTAAGTTTACAAAATGAAATAAATTCCCATGGAATGAGAATTTGTCATTTATATGGAATTTTACAAGACATAATTTGTAATCCAAAAACAAACAAGTAGAAAATCCACAATTAGGGTCTAAATTTTTGAAGGTATACATATCTCAAGGACTATAACCAAAGCAATTATTTTAGTTGACCTAGTAGAGAATAGATAAGAAGAGGAGGAGGAGGAGGAGGAGGAGGAGGAGGAGGAAGAGGAAGAAGAGGAAGAAGGGGAAGAAGGAGGAGGAGGAGGAGGAGGAGGAGAAAAGGAAGTGGGGTCCCCAAATTGTTGATTGATAGAGCATGAATTGAACTTAAGTGACTTCAAGATTGACTGATTTAAATGTTTTATAAATTTTGGTGATGCATGGCATAAGACTTCTGAATATCTTATCACAAATGTGAATGAGATATAGGTTTAATTACATACAATTAAATGCCAAGAATTCAATAAGTTGCAAATCAGGAAACTTTTTAAAGTTTCTACAACAAAGAACATTTTCTCAGTAGAAAATTCTCTGATACAACTATTCAACACAATTATCGGAAATGGCATATTTGTGTAGTATCCAGTAAACATAGCTTGGAATGATATTTTAGTGTACTTTTGATATGTATTTTCCCAATGTTTAAAATTATTTATTGTTTTTAATATGCTAGTTGTATATTTCTTCTGAGAATTCATAAATGCAGGATCTTCAAAAGAAAATCTAAATGTTGCATACCCTTAATCAACAAGTCTCATTTGAGAACAATTATTTCTCTCCCTAGTGGGCATATCTCGTTTTTAAATAGTTATGGGTTGACACAATTGAGGGTAGTAATACAGTAATAAATATCTCAGGGATAAAATAACATCCCAGTAATGAGACTCTAGGAGTGCTTGCTACCAAATGTCATTTGACATAGAAGATGGCTTCCAAGCAATGCCACTTGGCCTCCAAAATCAATAGTGATTATATTGAGAAACCTTGCTCTAACCTCCTGATGGCTGTTTCTCTTCCAGTGAGAAATAGGAAATTTTACAATCTAACAAAAGTAAAGTAAAATACTTTGGTCCTTGAACATGTTTTTATATACATACAGTTGTCATGTCCAAGGGGAATCTCAATTCTTCAAAAGTCTATGGCAATCCCTAAATGACAGTCCCTTGGCTCTGCTGAAGCTGGGCTATAAAAGTTTGCTGGTGAAGAGATAAAAGCCTACAGTTGACATTCCTCTGGAACAACTAAAATGTGTTTCTGTCAGTCGGAAAGTCCCACTTCCCTTGGAATATACATGTGGTTACATATCAAAGCCAAAAACCAAATTCCAGGCTCCTCTGGTCCCTAGTAACACATAATTTTTATGAATACCAAAACCCCTACACTACCCTGATGGTACTTCTCACTTCCCCCTCTACTCCTTCAATATGTTAATTCCCAGGCTATTCTAGCTAACCAGCTCTCTTTCTTCCTCAATAACTTATAACTTACAGGACTATTCCACCATTTTTTTGCTATTTTCTCTGGTCCAAAGTGAGAGCCCTGGCATTCACCTGATGCCTCTGATTGTTCTCTCTTTCACATCTGCCCACTCCCCAGTCATGCAGTGGTCACTTCAGTGTTTTCTTCACTGTGCACTCAGTTATACTAGTCTATTATAATATTTGGGATTTTAACAAGATCTTATATGTAGTACAATGGATCAATATACTCATTTACTCTGATTAATAATTTCAGGCCAACTCAAAATCCTGGTAACAATATGAGTCATTCATATTATTTTGAATCAAAAACATTTTTTCATTTGCCAATTTCTTCAATAGACTTATACTTCAAATAATCCCATGCATTATCAAGGTACATCATTCCAGATCCTAGAAATAAAAAAATATAAATTATTGAAAATCAGATAAAATTGGAATTTGAACTAAAACACTAGTATTGAATTTTAATTGCAATATATTTGCTTGATCATGTCAATATTTTTACCATGGACTAAAAGAAATTGATTTTTGATAAAACTCCTAAGGAGAATATTTAAAAATACATGTTCTGCTTTTCTCTTAGATGTTCCTAAATTTATCCAGGAAATTGTTAAGCTTTTACTATGAATTTGAACAATCCCTTTCTTACTTTTAAATATAGATTGTGTTGTTGGCCAATGTACTGATTCTGAAAATATTGAATCTTCATGAAATATCTAACTCTTCAGGCTCCTCTTCGTGTGGTTTATTTTTCTTTACTGAAACTGGATTATTCTCTCATACAATACATCCCAGTCAATTTCCTGTCTATCATTTCCTTCTAGCTCTCCCAACCACATCACCCTCTCTTCCAGATACACTCCCCATTCATTTCCCTTCAGAAATGAACAGGCCTTTAAGAGACAACAAGCAAGCACAACAGAGCAGGTTACAATAAGACAAGGCAAAACCCTCCTATTGAAGCTTGACAAGGAAACCCAATAGGTGGAAAAGAGGCCCATGAACAGGAAAGAGAACCTCAGAGACATATCTGCTCCCACTGTTAGGATTCTCACAAAATTACCAAGTTAACAGTCATAAAATACACTCAGAGGACCTGGTGCATGTGGTTTATAAAACAAATGTTTTAAGAAATATTTTATGGTGGGTCTGATTCTTAGAATTCCTTCCTACTTCTTCCCTTTTCTGATATCAGGTGAAGATGACCCTTTGCATAATATGCTTAGCTGTGATATTGCTAGTTACCAGTCAACTACATGTGTTGTTATGGAAGAAGAAAAAAGAGAATGCCAATCTTGGATGGGAACATCTCCGAGCGAGTCACAAGTTCATACTTTCATGGAAGGAGATAGTGTTAATGATAATAATGAGAATCCAGATCTAAAATATGACCATTTGTATTTTGCAAGACTTCTTGGAGAAGAAAATATGCAGAACAATGAGAGGCTAGTGGAGAGTGAACAATCAAAGTCTATATTTAACAGTCCTCGTAGATCAGAAGCAAATGCAACTGACACATTGATAGCAGCTCCGTCTACCCGAAGTCGGACAAGAAAAAGACGCAGGAGCCAACAAAATTGGAGAGAAAGACCACGGATGGAAAGTAAGTTGTAAAAAATGACATGATTGTTCTATTGGTATGGAAAGGTTTTACTGTAGATATGAGAGACAGAGCAGCTAGAGGCATTTGGAACAGTACAAACAGACAGAGAAAGAAGTAGAGAGAACATAGCCAGCACACTGGACATGGCCAAGGCTATCTAAGAGATGGAAAAATAGCACGGGATAGGAAATAGAAAAAGCAAAGTGAGAATAGCAGGAGCACAGAAGAGGGAGAAAGCCAGATTAGAAGGAGTATCAGTAGATGGGGGAGGGAACCGCCAGGAGACTGGTGTTGGGGCTTTGAAATAGACTTGTTAGTAGGGACTGGGGTAGCCTGAAGGCTAGCCTGGACCTTGATATGCTGACTGAAGAGCCATACAAACCTTTTGTTAGAGGTATAGGAAGTTACTCCTTTTGTAGTCAGGGAACTGGCTTCACAAATTTCTGAGATATGCTGGCTTTTGTCAACCTGCCAGAAATCCCCCTATACTTCAGGTTGGGTTCATTTCTTGATATTTTGACTGACATTTGGAGTTTGCAGACTTGAAATTTCCTTTTGACCTGATGCAAGTCACCACCAGATTCACAGAGTAAAATGTTATGGATTTTTTTAAAAAATTTCTTCACCAAAGAATGTTCCAGACAATTGTATCTATCTGAGGGGACACTTCTAATCTTGAGAAATAATTGAGAGCCGTTGAAGCTAAGTTTAGGCACCATGATATTACTTATCTACTGTGGAACAACCAACAATGCTTCCAGTTTCACAAAATGCAAAGAAAACCTCCCCAGTGAAATTATTTTAGCATAAATTCAGTAATGCTGATGTTGAAAAATATTCTAACTTATATTTCTCTCAGAACTTATATTTCCATAGAACTTATATTTCTCTCAGAGTGTGAAATATGGGTTATTACTACCTTGCCAAGGGTGATTGAAACTGTTTTCATCATGAAAGTGGTATTATATGAATCCAATAGAGCATACAAGAATGCTTTAGGTTCTTCTGAATACCATGTTATATACTGTATTAGGTCCAATATATTGATTTGGTATTACAGGCAATTTTTGTCAACTCAAAATCATCAAAACTGAAAGAAGCACATGGAAAATACCTCAGATATGTCTTTGAACTTACCTTCATCCTATTAGTATTTTGTTTCAATGTTAATGAGATGTATCAGCTCAGCAGTTAAGGTCAGCTTGTGTTCTTCCAAAGGACCTGGGTATCTCAAAACTACCTATGACTCTAGATCCAGGGGATCTGAACACTGGTAG